TAATTACCTCGTTGAGGCTGTAAAAATAGCAGCAGTTACGCAGTCGATTAGTGAACAAAATGGTAGCTAAATTTGCGATGAGCCAAGCACCGTATTTAGAAGATTCGCCTCCAGCAGCATTCCACGGAAGAGTGATCCACTGCGACCCGCCAGTTCCTTTGGCGGACCCATTTCTATCAGACGTCCAGCGTCCAGGACCATTATTCTAAAAGTGACAGGAATGATAAAAGACATAAAAGCTGCCCAAATAAGTAGCTGCTTTTTCCTTCCAACAGACCTATCATAGTCAATGATGGTATCGAGACGGTGAGCAATCGTGAGAACGGTGCTGGAAGCGAACTCCTTGCGAACTGTGTGTTGGATTAGTTGGTCAGTTTGAGGGTCGACGGCGGCTGTCGCCTCGTCCAGAACCAAAACACGTGATCTCCGAAGGAGAGCGCGCGCCAGGCACACCAGTTGGCGTTGGCCCACGCTAAAACCAGGCAAATCTCAAATGCGCTACCACAAGTTCTCGATGATCTTCAGAGAAAGACGAATTTCGGTCGAACCTGAGGTTGTTGCCACCTTCAGCGATGGTCATTTCAAGGCCATCAGAGGAGGTCTCTTCCACAAATGACCGGAGATTCGCCAATGTGAGGGCCTCCCATACGGTCTTGTCGGTGTGGGTGTTGAAGGGATCAAGATTGAACCGAAGGGTACCAGAAAAGAGCACTGGATCCTACAGTTAAAATTTCCATATCTAGGTAGGTTTAGCAAATATATAAGTAACGAGAGGAAAGGGCGAAAGAAACAACTTGCTCAGATGAAGCATGCAATCAGGCGCAGACAGGCAGAAGGACGAACAAAGGAAATGGCGACTCGCCTGGGGAATGAGAGTGATGCGCCCACGGAGGTCGTGTAGACCAATCTCGGCGATATTTTGCCCATCAAGGCGAATCTCCCCTTCATTTGCCTCAATGATGCGGAAAAGAGCCAGCACGAGAGATGATTTACCTGAGCCTGTCCGACCCACTATCCCTATCTGTAAAGTGAAATAGCAGAGAAAATGTTTACAGGAACAAATTGTACTGGCTGCCGTTTCATGGACGGGAAGCCCGACAAATGGGTCCCACCCGCATGCACCAGCAAATAAGGCCAAACTTTAATGACTGTTAATCAGGGAACAAAAGTCCTTGAAGAAAGCAGATCGGACCTTCGTCTATCGCAGGGTATCTAGACTAAATTCTGCTGTCAAATGGGGATAAAGAATTTTAAAATGTCTCAAAAAGGGGAGACAAGTACCTTTTCACCAGGCTTAATAGTGAATGATATGGAGCGAAGAACAGGGTCAAGATCATCGCGATAACGGGTACTGTAGTTGACGAACTCAATTTCACCCTGGGGCCACTGAGCTGGTGGCTGTTTCGCTGGCACCTCCCATGGGGCCTGAAATATAAAGTGAGGGGAGGAAAAAAAATCAAATTTCAGCTGATGAACTCTTTCCACCTCGAATCACCTCCTGGAAACAGTATTAAGCGTAAGGAAGAGTGGGCGACTGGAGCGGGGCTCCATGATACCGGGGTGGAGCAAACACGAGACTGACTAAAAATAAGTAACATTTCATCGTAAAGTAAGCTGAGGAGAGGGTGATTTACCTCGATGGTCAGCTTGGAGTACTCTCGGATCCTCTCCACGGAGACCACATTAGTCTCGAACTCCGTGGACATCCGCACGAACCAACTGAGGCCCTGAATAATGTTCAGAGTGTAGCTGATCACTAGACCCGCGAAGCCCGCAGCCAGAGTGTCGCGGGTTGCAACGAAGGCCACTGATACAGAGAATGTCAGCAGGTTGCCCACCGTCTCTAGGACCATGGAGAGCCACCTGTCGAAACACGAACAGCGATGAAGAGGAGTGTGTTAAGTGGACGTGAAGACTTCTGGGTCTCCCTGTTGGGAGCACCAAAATGTAACAACTTATAGGGTTTGGTGGGATACGCCTGAGGTATTGCACCTCTTATGAAATAATGGAGTCATTTCGCATCTGTTGCCCATTCTTTCAATAAGAGTGATATGACTGATAGTTTTTATTCCTTGTAGGGAACGCATCGGCCTTCACCGTGAACCCTACAGTGTATTTAGAGACAACTCAAGCACTGCAATTAATCGGCTGAGCAATGGTTTGAACGAAATGTCTGATTTTGATAAGCGATATAAAACTCAGCTAACAATGAGCTCAAAATCAAAAGGGAAACCCGAGAACAGCACAATTAAAGAAGAGGAAAAAGATAAACGGGATATGAAGCCCCAAAGAAATCTGCGTTCTTGAGGTAGACTAATCAAATGAGATGATGAGATAAGTGAGCGCACCGATTCGCGATAAGAGTTCCAAAGAGGGCGCGGTTGTTTGCGTCAACTCGAGTGTCACTAGAGTTCACAAAGAGGTCGCACAGTCCATAGGCCCGAATAGTGTCCACTCCGAGGAGGGTCTCTGCGAAATGCGAGAAGATTGGCGACTTGCTCACCGAGTCCAAGCGCTTCAGCTGACGGCTCGTCGTCACAAAGAGATTCTGCCAATGTAGATGGATGGAGAGACACATTACCACTGGCTATCAAATAGAGGTAGGTTTTCATAACTTAGAGTGAATGCAAGTGCCTTGGTTTACAGGTCATCCTCATTACAAGGAGGTTGTGTAGTTTACGGCAAAAAAGACGGAGACATTCAGATGCATATTGCAAGGAGCACTCAGGTCCAGCCGGGACCTATAAAATGCCACATTGTCGCGTGGCTACTACAAGCAGTGGCAGCCGATGACATGCTGCGAATGGACAAGGTAACGGAAAACAGCGGTAGCACGTGGATGGAACAAAACATGGTGACGAGATTTACTGGTGAAAGTAGTTGTAAAGCCCATTAATACTTGTGTCTGTAGAACACAAGCACAGCAGGACGATTAAACGCCAAGTCAATCAGCAGTGGAAAATTTGATTAAGGATGTCGACGTTCAATCTCCTTATGGGGTTAAATTGCTTGCATCGACAAAGCCTACAAAATTTTTGAAAAACATAGAGATATTGAGAAACAGTTTCTATCTGGCCAAGAGGGATAGCACTAGACTCAGGCAGCTTCCATGGAAAGCTAGGAATTCCCACATACTTACCTGCATGGTTGCGTAAAAACCGAGAAGACAAGCGAGGAGAATGAGGATATAGGCACTAGGCAAGGCACAGAGCGCGAAAGTGATGAGACAACTGAAGAGGGTCGTCAGCATGGAGCGCATTGAGATCATCAGCTGATTATCTACGGTTGATATTTCATTAGAGAAGCGGTTCATTATCCGACCCTGAAGCCCAAAAGGAGGGAAAGCAATCAAGAAAATGAACCAAGTGGAGGCGATAACCCCCTGAGTGCTTGTACTCATTCCCCTCTATTCGATGCTTAGACGATCTCCCGACACAGACACAAAATGAGGCAATGAGAGGCTTAAAATTCACTTCCACAACTTCTATAACTCAGTTCTAGAGTTCTCTATTCCAGCTTTAAATGCACATTTTGACATAGGGTACACTAAAAAATTGTTTAAGTCTCAGTCCCTCGTTCACCGAGGTACTGCACGAAAAATTCCACTTCAAAGAAAGCGGTATAAAGTCGAATTTTAACGCAAGGGAAGAGAGCCTACCTGAGGCACGGAATCGAAGAAGCTGGTCGGGACGTGGAGGATGCATGACAGGAGTTGATGATGAAGCACCTTCACGGCTCGAACACTGCCAACTGCCAGCATCATACAAGCCAACACATTGAAGGCAACTGGTGGAGGATGAGAAAGAGTAAAGAGGTCTTCTCAGAAAGATGTTACCTATTTGACGAGACTAGACAAAATTGATATTTTGGAATTCAAAACACACGATGCTGGAAGTTTCCTTTTTCCAGAGTTGCCATCTGCATGTCATGCGTGAATCAGTCCGGACCCCATTCAATGAGATGGCTTGCAACAGCATTACGATGAAGTTTTTGGTGGATGAAGACGTGAAATTCGCGAATATTTATATCTACCAGACATAATACAATGATGGAGGGTTCAACCGCTCAAGGGTAAGGCATCTGACTGTGGCAGTTCCCAGCTTACAGCGATTGTTTTTTGGAGCATTCAAAGTCTGGATCTGGACGCCCGATTAATGCAGAACTTGTGGTATGGTAGACTTGTACAGAAAATCAACCTTACTCCGGGAAAAGAAAAGTTAGGAAAAGTTGGGGTGTACTGGATACCAAGAGTCTTCGGTACTGACAATGAAGTGAAGTAGAATGTTATAGAGCGATCCAGCTGTAGTGATCAATCTGTCTATGCCAAAATTGGCCTCCTAGCATTATACAAACACTTGGACAAGGGAGCTGTGACAAAGAATAAAAGCAGTTTCTACACTTTGAAATTTTACCTTTTTGCTAATAAGTCAAAAACTCCCACTTCCATCGATGTCAATGAAAGAGGTCATAGGATGTACGGTAATTCCTCAGATCTGAAACTAAGCACTGGCCTAAATAGTATAAAAAGTTGAGTCAAATGAACAGGAAAACTGGAATGGTGAAATTAGGAGATTCGAGATGTTGGAATACCGGCTTACAGTCGAGCTAAGCTCTTTTATCGCCACGGCGTTAAAGTGAGGGCTTGGACACTGCTCAAGAATTCCTTGAAACGCTACTTTCAATTTGGATATGATAGGAAAATTAGCATATTTTAGCGCTAATCACCAATTTTTTTAATCAACACATCAGACCTAAGGGACAACAAGATCCCTCTCCTCATACCTATTATTTGAAATGAGCAGTTTTTGAGAGGTTAAGACCACTCAGGCTATAACAGAAACGTCGACGGATAATTATTTTCAAGGGCAAAACCAGTGAATCGAGGGGCCATAGGCTATCACAAAGGCACCGTCCAGCTGATGGGGGATGAGAGTCATTCAACTTTATGTACATAGCACCTATTACGGTCAGTAGAAAAATATTTGAGGAAATTGTAGCAAATTGTCGGAGGAAAATGGACCACCACGGTTCAGATGTTTCATTAACTTCAACCAATCCGTTTGTGACACGAGTCGGTGAGACCGGGTCGCATGAACTGGTAAAGGACACGTCACTACTGCCAGGCCAGAGTCTGGACATGATAGTCAGGGAGTCACATCAATGCGTGATGGTGGCCGTGAATGCGGTATACACGATTTAGAACTTCGATGATAAAGCCTAATTTGGATTTAGTCTAACGGTAAATTTAAACGACCGACCGTTGATTGCATTCCCATCGTAAGGCGTTAAAGCACTCAAAGTCCCTGAGTACAGAGGTAAAGTCTAGATGAAGGAGGTTTAGTGCTACCTCATTGTATTTTTGGAGTTACAAAGGCGAAAAAATTCTAGAAAATCCAGGAAACATGTCGACAACCGCAAAACTAAGCTGTAGCAAAGAACTTGGAGCCAATCTTAAGGCCATAGGATCTCACCTCGTAGAGTTCTACTAATGTTTCAAACAGGCTCCTCCGGCCAATCTTCTTTTGATAAAGAATTATTCGTAGGTTTTCAAATACGATATTCTAGATAACTGCGGGATTGTTGTTTAACCGTAAAGGTATGAGCACTCTTTGATCCCATTTGCTGAAGGCTTTCAGATTTATTAATAAAATACGAAGTGAAGAATTTGAAAGACTACCTCAACTGCTGCAACATCAGGATTATCCACTCAGGCTTAAGCATTGTAAGCACTGTTAATGGTGGCATAAAACGAAGAGAGTTCCTGAGAAGTTAGGTAATACCTCAGCAGCTAAAATTCAAATCGCTGCCAAAGATAAGGTAAGCCAGTCTTGAGTCATGAAGAACAGTCCCAAGAGGACCTTACCTTGACACATGCCGATAACAGCGTAGACACCTAAACGCAGCCCCACACTCTTCATGGGTTCCACAGTAGTCTGGTTGGATGAGGCGCCAGTGTTATTGATGAATTTCGAGGCATCATTCGACCAATCAGCCAACCAAATGTTATTTCCAAGCCAGGCGATTTGGGTGAAGAAAAGGAAGAGAACACCACCAACGAAGAGACCCAGACCCATGTTTCGAATATACATCCAAAAGACTACCAACTTCACCTGCAGATAACCGAAAGACAAATGCTATTTAATTATTAAGAACTGGCCTTAAAAGTGGAAACTTCATTGTTGATAGCGCCTTGAAACCGTGGCTGTGACCAACGGGGGTAAATACTAAATAGTCCCTCTATTTTGACTTATTATACTCAACGCAGTGACAAGTGGTGAGGGATAAATTAAGAAAAAGTCTTTAGAAGTAACTTTACCCTTCCAGTGGCACTGGTCTCCAAGTTTCCCTTCGGTCCACCATCGGTCTTCTCACCTTTCGCGATTGTAGCTGATTTGTACAACCTGCTAGTCTTTCTGTCGGATTCTTGTGCCTCCTGGGGTAGAATAGATAAAATGTTAACGAGGTGGCTTTTGATCTCTTCAAGGTATCTATATGTCAATAATAAAGACTTGAATACAACAACCAGAACTAAAACCCACTTTAATGGGACTCGATCGGCTCTGAGCTGATGACAACGGCTCCGCGTCATCGGTCACTTCCGGGTCCAAAGCCTCTGTCTCCATCAAAGTCACTAAAATCAAAAAAGAACGATACTAGAAGTGAATTTTTAAGCGTAGAAATATCCTCGAAAAGGCAAAATTTCAAACTAATTACGATTCTCGAAATCGAAAACAATATCTAGCTCTTTTAATCTGCAGTCAAAAGCAATTACGGCCACGGGGAAAGATGGAGGCCTCAGAACAGAGCATTATAAATTGAAGAGTTATTTTTACCAAAAAATAAGCTTTAAACACCGATCGATCTCACAGTGAATGTCACCTTAGTGCAATTATAAACCAAACCAAAATCTTAAAATCATTACTGAAGATGCATTTTTAAGGACGATGAACAACTAAACTCACACTCTGCTAGATCACTAGCTGGAGCATACGAACCCGCATGCGACTCTGTTGAAGTTCGCCTCTTTCGAAAACTAGAAACCACCGAAGTCTCGACTCCCACCGCTGCAGCTGACTCCGACGCTGCCTCACGCTCTGACAGTCGCTGTCGAAGCTCCTCACTACGTAGGAAGGCGTTGAGATGACTGGCGGGTCGCCTGATGAGGCTGGCGTAATTACCATATTCGACCAGTCGGCCAGAATCCAGAACAGCCACGCGATCAGACGCTGCAATCGCACTGGGATTATGCGTGGCCATGATACGCGTCCGACCGGACAAAAGGCCCCCACGGCCAAGGACGTGTTTCAGCAGATGCGAGGCCACGTGAGTATCAACGGCGGCTAGGGGATCATCGAGGAGGTAGACGTCCGCATCAGCATAGCAGGCTCGAGCAAGACTAGATGGAAAATAATAATGCAACTGCTACTGATTTTGATGGAGCAACAATTCCATAAACCCTCACCTAACCCGTAGTTTCTGTCCACCGGACAGGTTAACACCTTTGTCTCCGATGTCAGTAAGATCCCCCATGGGCAGCAACTTGATGTCAGGTTCGAGTGCGCAGGCCTTGATGATTTTGGCGTAACGTTCAGGATCGTAGGGATGATGGAAGAGAATGTTTTCGCGTAGAGTGGCATTAAAGATCCAGGACTGCTGCGAGACCAGTGCCAGGCGACCCTGCATAAAGTGAGCAATTAAGGTGGATCTAGGGAGCAGCAGGAGGCTATTGAGGCATACCTTAATATTTACGCGACCGGAAATGAGCTCCATGTTACCGAGTAAAGCGTTGAGAAGACTGCTCTTGCCACAGCCCACACGACCCACGATGGATGTTGACTGGCCTTCTGTAAAGTAGGCCGTAATGCTGAAAGGATGTGCAGACAGGGACAGTAACTCGGAATAATGATTGGTCAAGCTTATCCAACTCGTTGACCCAAAAAAAAAATAAATAAGTAAAAATAAAAATAAAGAAAATTAAAAAGGGACTCCTTCCATCTACAGCAGTCAGGTCATAATTCGCATGCAAGAAATAAAAGCAATAAGACAAATGGCAAACAGAGGCATTTGTGTGTCTTTCTGTACTATGAAAGAAAGCAAAACGCTTCTTCTTCCTTTTTAATTTGGATTCATTTGTAAGGGAATGCGCAATGAATCACCCCTTATTTCGACATTCC